AGGATAACAGGTAGACCAGCCGACAGCTCACCTGGTTAGAACTCTGGGCTCCTCCGAGGATGTGGCTAAGTGGGCTGGCACCACATCCCAGGGAGGGGGACGCAGCGCTTCCCCAGCTTTAACACACAACTCAAGATGCAGATTCTCATTAAGGAGGTCTAGGGAGGAGCCAGAGATGCTAACAACCCTGAGCCCAGCAGCTCTCCAGGCCACATGTGCAGAATCAAGCATCTACAGGGCCAGGACACTCAGAACGCAGAGAGAAACACAGCATCCTTCCATGGCCAGGGTACGAGAGCCAAATGGGGGCAGCAACTGCCAACCAACTTTAAGACATCAATAAGCTATAGACATAGCTTCAGACCCTCAATGCACACAGAACGATTGTTTTAAGATTATTTTGAAAGACAGAGAGAGGTAGAGACAGAGAGAGGTCTTTCATCTGCTGGTTCACTCCCCAATGGCTGGAGCTGCACCAATCCGAAGCCAGGAGCTTCCTTCCAGGTCTCCCACATGGGTGCAGGGGCCCAAGGACTTGGGCCATCTTCTGCTATCCCAGACCATAGCAGAGAGCTGGATCAGAAGAGGAGCAGCCGGCACTGAGACTCACTAGGCTAATCCTCCACCTTGCAGCGCCGGCACATCGGGTTCTAGTCCCGGTCGGGGTGCTGGATTCTGTCCCGGTTGCCCCTCTTCCAGGCCAGCTCTCTGCTGTGGCCAGGGAGTGCAGTGGAGGATGGCCCAGGTGCTTGGGCCCTGCACCCCAAGGGAGACCAGGATAAGTACCTGGCTCCTGCTTTCGGATCAGTGCGGTGCACCGGCCGCAGCGGGCCATTGCAAGTGAAACAGGGGCAAGTGGGTGGCTCTTGTGTGGTGTTTTTACCCCCCGGTCACTCACATATAAAAAAAAAGAAAAAATAAAAAATAAACGCGCAGCAGCTTAAGACTAGAACCGACTCCCATATGGGATGCTGGCGCTTCAGGCCAGAGCTTTAACCCATTGTGCCACAGCACCGGCCCCTCAATTTGTTATAAATAATGTCTTTAGGCTTACACTAGTATTTAATGGAGACCACTATATCATTTCCTCAAGCTGAAAGCATGTTCTACTCCAAAACGAAGTTCCACCACTTCCTGGGCATTCCCTTTGCTGCACCTCTGGGCTGTTTGGTAACAATGCATGGCCAGACACTGCTGGTGCCTCCTATGGACAGTGTAAGAGAGACATGTTGTCTTTAAAACCCTGGAAAAGATGACAGCAAGTCATCAGGCACCAATGGTTTCTCAAAGTCTGACATGCCTTCTCTAACTGCCGATTTATGTGAAATCTGACCTCCAGGAACTGACCAAGTGAGGAAACCATCTCGGACATTTTGCAAACTGAATTAGAGGCTGGATACCGTGTTGACAGGAAAACTTGTAAGAAATACTATGGTAGCCCTTGCCCTGACTGTTGATAAACAACTTAATACATTATCCCTCTTAGTACTTTTGTCTGTTCTACTTAATACTTTTGAATACTGTAATCAATACATTGTTATTCTTAAGTGTTGAAACTTAACTGAAAAGTGATTGCTGTTAAATATAAGAGTGGGAATAAGAGAGGGAAGAGATATGCAATTCGGGACATGCTCAAGCTGACTTGCCCCAAACGGTAGAGTTAGAAACATACCAGGGGATTCCAATTCAATCCCATCAAGGTGGCATGTACCAATGCCATCTCACTAGTCCAAGTGATCAATTTCTGTTCACAATTGATCATAATGATAGGACTAAGAGCCAAAGGGATCACATAAACAAGACTAGTGTCTGCAAATATTAACTGATAGAATCAAAAAGGGAAAGAACGATCCAACATGGGAAGCGAGATGCGCAGCAGACTCATAGAATGGCAGATGTCCTAAACAGCACTCTGGCCTCATAATCAGCCCTTAAAGCATGTGGATCCGGCTGAAAAGTCCATGAGAGTATTCAGGCA